TAGAATATCCAAATTGAACCGTTTTGAAATGGTTCACAGTAAGCAGGTGAACTGGTAATATGTGAGGAGATCATTTGGGTATAAAAGGAGCATCTCAGACTTTGCAAGCAAAGCTGGATCATGGCTCATCACTTTGTGCCAAATTTCATGATATAAGTGTCAAACAAATCAAAAATGACATTTCTCAATGCAAAATCGCAACGAATTAAGGTCTTTCACCAACTACCATACATAATATTGTGAAAAGATTCAGGGAATCCAGAGAAATTTCAGTCTGTGTAGGGCAGGGGTGTCCGAATTTAGTCCTGGAGTTTAGCTCCAACTTGCCTCAACACACCTGCCTGGAAGTTTCTAGTATCCCTGCCTCAGTTGAATGTGCATGACCTTTGAGCCCTCAGATGGCTTTGCATAAGAAACCATCATGCTGCGGTGTTAAATATAGCCACATGTGCTCAGGAGTACATCAGAAACCGCTGTCATTTACCACAGTCTGCCGCTGCATCAATAAATGCAACTTGAATTTCTGTTACTCTAGAAGAAAGCAATACATCAATTCTATGCAGTGATACTGCGGGGTTCTCTGGGCCAGAGCTCATCTCAGATAAAAAGACAGATAAAATGTGTGCTGTGGTCAGATGAGTCCACATTTCAACTTGTTTCTGGGGAAAATGGACGGAGTTCTCAGTCCCAAAGACTAAAGAGACCATCCAGACTTTTACCAGCAACAGATGCTAAACCAAACGTCTGTCATTGTATGGGGGTGCAGCAGAGCAAACGGCATGGGTGACTGGCATATGTGTGAAGGTACCATTGACATGGAGGCATATGTTGGGATTGTACAGAGACATATACTGCCATCAAGATAACGTCTTTCATGGGAAGTCCAGGGTTATTAGATCAAGACAATGCCAGGTCTCAATCTGCATGTGCTACGACAGTGTGGTTTTGTAGACAAAGATTGAATGCGCTAGACTGGCCTGCCAGAGTCTTTGTCTGACCGTGCACCCATACTTATACCCTGTTCTTATCAGTCATTTTTAACCAAAAATTGGTAATCTGGTTTTTTATTGGTTTTGCTTGTCTGGTTTGCCACAATTAATTAATCCTCTTCCTGACATTTTCTCAGATCGGCCATTTTTAAAATAATTTTATTCCGCCGTCTCCTATTGGTTGGAATCGTCCCCATGTGACATACATCAAACTTGTTTGTGTTGTACCTGTCATACTGTGGAAATCACCCAAAGTTCACTTAAATACACAAAATAATGATCTTTAAAAAAGCATCATATGACCCCTTTAAGTTCACTGGTACTGTCCAGTGGAAAACACATGTACCGCTCACTGGAGGGCACCCGAGACACACAGTCTGTATTGAGACATCCAATATTGGAACAATCATTGAAACAATCAACTTATTGATTAGTCTATTGATTATTGCCATAGTTATACATCATATTTTAAGTCAAATAAGTACATGACATCATATTTTAAGTCACAGTCATGAAAAGGAGAATCAGACAACGACGATCATGGACTGCTGAGCATCTGAAATCTTGTATAAAGCGTAATTGGACAAAAATTTTGCTTGCAAAACTTTAACAATTAGTATCCTCAATTCCCAAACAATTAAACATTGTAATTAAAAGGTTGATGTGACAGTGTTAAACATGTCTCTGTTCCAAATTGTTTGGAGTGTGTTGCACCCATCAAAATCAAAATTTGTTTATATTTCCGAAAAAAAAAAAATTATGTTGACCAGTGAAAACATTGCACATTTTTTCTTTGTACGTCAGTCAATTAAATAAAGGTTAAAGAGAATGAACAAATAACATATTCTTGATTTTATGGCATTTCACAAAACATCCCAAATTTTCTGGAATTGGGGCTGTAGCTTTATTTTTTAGTTTTATTAATTTTCAAACAATTTTCTTTAGAAAAATAAAATGTTAAAGTATGCATTTAATAATCTCACAAAAATCTCACAATAAATTACAGTTTTTGCCATGTCTGTTTTTAAGAATTCTAAACCATGAATAAAAATGTTACAGTTAACATTATATATAATTAACTTTTTTTTTTTAAATTGAAATACTTCAGAATTTTTTTTTTTTTTAGATTGAGTTTAAATTAGATTTTTTTTTAATTACTACTTTTTCTTATGTTGTCAAAAGTTCTGTCGACTATGCTACTAAATGAACAACCCCCGCTACTAAAAAATGGTTTATCACAACATGTGACCAGCATCATATGTTATTTTCTTCTGGGGTGGATATTTTGATCACAATATTGTAAGTGTCCTCTCTTTTTTTTCCTCCAATATTTTTTTTCTACAATAAATTAGTCAAGGAGAATTGACTGTCAATTTGTTATGGTTTGCAATATTTTTATGATTTAAATTCAAATATATATTCAAAACTGACATTAAACTGATTAAAAAATAACATGCGATTGGCCAGATAAGGCCTACCATTGTAATTAAGAGTCAAAATGCTGAATCTGTCAACTATTATGTTGCCTGCCAATTATTGAATGATATAGTTGTCATGGCCTTACTGTGTGACTGTGTCCACTGATGATATTGATTTGTTTCTCACAAATTGTTTTATTTTTCTCATAGTTTTACCTTTATTGTGCATACCAGGGGACACAGAGTGTGTGTGCATGAGCTAACAATGTGTCAAGTCAACTGTTACTTTAAAAAATTTAAAAATTAATAAATAAATAAATAGAACGCTGCTTCTTTTACAGGTTGAAGTTTTGTATAACATCTCTTAAAATTTAGTTGATGTGAAATGTACCCCCAATTACGGAATGAGCAATAGATTGCTAGATGTGACACTGTAATGGCTTTCTTATTGCTTACGGTTTGCTCTGTTATTTATATGTGAGATATCTGAATCCAAAATAGCATTTAAAAGGTGGTAAAGCAGGTACTGGATTTTTACTATTCAACTTACTGTAACACAATATTTTGTACAATAGTTATTATGTGGTTCTCAGTGTTGGGGAGTAACTAGTTACATGTAACGGAATTACGTAATTTAATTACAAAATAAAAGTAATTCTAATCAGTTACAGTTACTGAGAAAAAATTTTGTAATTAAATTACAGTTACTTATTACAAAAGGGGTTACATCTGCTTTTTTCACACACACTCCCACATACAGATTTAATTGATTTCTTTCATAAATTGCAGTGACTGCTCTAAAATATGAAACACCAATGTTTCAGGAGTTTAGAACATGCTTATTCGATAACTCTTTTATTTCCTATATGGGTTTATGTATAGCTATGCTTCATTTTTTAAAGATTAACTGTTTTTTCCCAAGGCATTGTTAGATTCCAGTGTTTACTGTCATAGCTATGTAAAGATTTGATTCAAAAAACAGTATCATAGCTAATACAATATTTATTGTTATGATTTTAAATATGTATTTAACCTCAGAATGATTTTAAAGTAAGTCTGATTTTGTGGTGGCTGTGCTTCAAAGTGGACATTGATCTTCCACAAGTTGATATGATTCTTTAGGG